TGTGATACAATATGAAGACTTTTTACTGTTTGCAAAACGTAAAAATATTCATCGTTTAATAGTAAAATTATTGAGTGAATACATAAATTTTATTAGTATCTCTCAAGGTAATCCATTGTATCGTGTAACTAGGAGTACTCGCAACATTAGAATGACCTATTTTCAGATCTCAGCGATAACTAATTGAATGTAGGCCTAAATGTTCTCGAAAAAACACCCTTGACGAGATTGGTAAACGTGTTAAAATCTTCTAAATTTAGAATAAACTATGTATCTGCACGTTTTCTCTATAAGCAGATTATAGTCTACATCATCAATCAAGCAGTTAATGAGTTAACACATGTTTACATATCTCGCAAACTTCTCTAATTTTAACATTTATGTCTTCTTTATATAGAATATGTAAGCCTACTGTGGACGAAACGGAATCGAATTAGGGCAAACTAAATGAAAATTTCATTTATCAATTTTCATTTCTCATCTCTCTGCTTATGAATCGTTAAAACTGCCAGACGAACCACTTGAATTTCTTCTTTAAATAATTAGCATTATAAATAATTAATAAACTGAGTTAATTAGAGGTAAATTTTCGTTTTTTATGATAAAAATTGGAAAAGGAATATAGAATATTCATTTAAAGTAAGTCTATATAGTGACTCGCTCGGGATTTAATCTTGGAGGGAGCTCACATAAGGTGGGAATTTTATTGAATTCTAAAGCTTAAACCATTGTTAATTCATAAGTAGTATAGAAATATCAGACACGTACAATATTAATTTTAATTAAGAAAAGATTTTTGGAAGATTTTCTAGTGTTTATTTTCTTTCTTCATGGAGAATGCCATCGACCCTTTTCCTCTTCTGGATGCGCCATTATGTACAGTATAATAATAATACAACGTATGTAAATATAACTCACTTGTTTAGATTAATTATTTTAATAAATTGATATTTTTCTTCATTATCAACTTGTAAATAAAACGATAACTCAGTTACAGCATACGTATTAAAATAATTCTCGATTTTTGATATAAAATTAATAACAATTTTAAAGTCTTTGACGTAATATTTATCGTTAAATATGCAAAGTTGAAGTATTTTAATCCAGTTTAAATGAAAAATTAAACTTATGAATGCTGTAAGTAACCTTAAATTAATATAAAACCATCTGAAAATCAATAAAACTCATTTAATGCATTTTTAAAATTTTATATGACTTAATCTCAATTTTAATTTAAATAAAACTATTTTAATCAATTACTTCATTTGAATCTGTTAATTAACGGTATTTATTGTCCTGTAATTTGCTTTCGGACTTGAATAAGTACCATTTGAACAAAATAATTAAATAAAAATGCCACAAGACATCACTCAGCCAATATCCTGTGGTATAATCAGTAAGGCCGATAGTCGAAAGAACATTTTTTACAAGCCGATCTCTATCGAGAATAAAGAATTTCAAAACTGGAAGATCTTGAACAATTTTTTCCTCCATCTTATTGCAGACGTTCAAAGGAATAACTGACTGGAAGTTTACATTCTGGGATTTATACTCGTAAGAAAGGGATCGAAATAAGCGATCAGAAAACGCATTACACGATGAATATACGTTCAAAAAAGGGCACGGATGAGCCGAAAATATGGATGCAATATTGATAATGATACCTTTTTGTCTAGCCAGCATAAAAGGCACAGTCAAGCGCGTCATGTGTGTTACAGCTCTCACTCGCAAATCTATGCTCCTGTATACACTTTCATCGGATTCCTGTAGGAACTGGCTAGGAATTTCGCCTTCGATATCGGCACAATTCACGAAAATACCGATTTCTATACCATACAAGCTGTTATTTAGAAATTCGAATACGTTTTCTTCGGTAAAATCAACGTGCGTGTAGCAGCAACGTACGCCATATTTGCTCTTGATTTCTTCGACTGTATCCTTCAGCTCTTCTAATTATTTGCTGATAATCACAATATCTAATCCGAAATTAGCCAGTTGGTGAGCGTAACCTTTTCCTATCACCGAACTTCCTCCCGCGATTATGGCCCACTGTGTACAGCTTCTTAAATTCCGAGTACAATTAGGAAGATGTATCCGGTAAATTAAATAACCGCAATAATAACAAACATACGAAGATAAGGGTGGAGAAAACACCAAAATATAACAAAATATAACTTTCCTGTATAACTTCTAACATCGTTAATCAAAAATTGCTAGAGACTACGATCAATTTCGTTTATACAATTTCTATGCATTCCACTGATATCAACTTTTAACATAAACAAACCAAGTACAAAATTAAAAGAATATAAAATTTTCCAATTTTAAATATAATTAAATAAATCGATAATTTATACAGAATTTAAATAAATAAAATAATTTTTTAATGTAATATTAATCATAATTTCATTATAATAAAAATATATAAATATATATGTCCTACTTTAGAATTTTTATTATAGCCTTTAAAATAATTAAACTTAAACTTGATTTATCTATGTGCTTCATATCTATAGAGTCTATAGGTGTTTTCTGACAATACATTTACATTTCCTAGATAAAAATTTATATATAAAATATACTGTAATAATTAATAATCGTTAATTAATCAGTATCTTGTTTTAATATATTTTTATTTAATAAAGTGAAAAACTTGACAAGGACGAGTTTAATTAATAAATTATTTAATTTATCGCGAATCATGTAACAATTCGATTGACAATTCTTGAATATTTTGTACGCCTTTACTTTAATTACAATTGCGAAAATCTATTTAATATTATCATCACATTTTGTCTTTATAAACTATAATCTATCAAAGTTTGGTCCACGATTAAAATTCGAATTATAAAATACNAATTGTTTCTAGGACTTTTGTTTCTAGAAAATAAAACGTGTCAGTCTTGAATATTATTATAAGAACACAAAAAACGTTATGAAAGTAATAATAGAACGTATTGTCGCTAAGATAATTTTTCAAAGAGGCCAAATATTCACATAATATTGAAATATCACAAATATCAAAAAAAAAGCAGGTGTGTTTACAGGGTTCTGTATGTAAAAACCAATTACGAATAAAAATGAATTATGTTTACATTAGAGTCATCGATATCCATTAAACTGAAAATGTTAATAAATGTGTTTTAGCAGCCAAAGATGTTCATTGATTATTTTACTAATTATTTTTTCTACTAAGTGTGGCTTTATCCGATAATAGAATATTCATTGTTAATAATCAGTTGTAGCTTTTCTCTATTAATTAATGATTTAAATTCACTTTTTCAAGTTATGAACAAGCTGTAATAAGACTATGTATTTTAAAATAAAATCGCACAAAAGTAAATTATTTTTCTGTTTAAGGTTTGTTCTTTGATAATTGCTTATTCAAGAAATTCTTTAGATATAGTTTTATTAATTAGCGAGTTTAATTAAGTAATAGTTTAGTTAAACTTTAACAATTATTTTATTAACGTCGAGATTTACAAATAATTTGTATGGAAAAAGATTATCTGATTCCAGTGGTACGTGACTTTAACTTCTAACCTTTAAACTTATGTGAAGCGTAACAAAGTAGAGGAATTAACGTTGGTTAATTAGTTTCGTGTTCAATATGAAACAGTCTCAAATTTTTGAAATTTTGACGATAAACGTTTTTATATCTATAATATCTGTTTTCCCAGATACTAACTGTTTTGTACGTTAGTGTCTTGACTGATTTATTATATTGGCTTCTAGACTGGATTCGCGCGAGAATAATCTTGCCAAATCTTTACCCCGATATTTACAAGTGTTTCACGTATTCTCCCCCATTTCTATGCGGTCTTGGCATCTTCTTGCACTGAGTCGCGAACACTGTCGAAAATTCCGGGTCGTTTTCGCATGATTTATCTCAGAAACGGTCGAGTTTCTCACCAGTTTACTAGTGTTTTTACTCCGTATAATGTACCTCTCTATCTACCAGTATGTATGCCGAATGTTTTTTAACACTCTCGTATGAACTTAACACTATTTCCCTCTGTCATTCGTCCGTCTGTCTGTCTTTCCTTAATTTCGAGGAAAATGTTAGATAAATAAGAGACGAGACGCGATATGGAAAGCTTAGGGGCAGGAGGCCTCAATTAACTATATACAAATTGTTGATGCAAATCGAAAATTACATTATTTCAATCGAAAAAGTTTCCCCCGAAAGGTGTTAGATTGATGACAGGCACGACTCTATTGTTATCAGGAAAAATATGTTGTACACTAGCAAACCAGTAGAGGAGAAGATGGTATTATGGAACCCAATTTTCATTATAGTGAATTGTAAACAAGGTATCATAACTACACTCACATTTTTTGTGCGAAATGTACTGGTAACTATTAAACTAAATGTTCCTAATTGGATTTTTCGCTAGTGTAATTATAAGTATGGTTTTTGAAGGCTTCTGTACAAAAAGTTAGAAAGTAGGCTTGGGAAAACCGGGTGGTAATATGGAACCTTACTGTATATTTTCAAAAAATGCTTTAATGTATCCAAAAACAAATAGGAAACTACAAAAAATGTTAAATAATTACAAAATTATTTACTCCAATGTATTTTATCGCAAAAACGATTTAATAATAATAATAATAAAGAAATGTACAAAGAAGAAGCTAATCATTTACAAAAATCACAAATATAATGCTCCTATAGTGCTAGATATCTATTTTTACTTTTTTCATTTTCCTTCTATTTTTTTATTAATCTACCACATACTTTTACAAAAGTTAGACGGGTTCCATATTAAAAGCACCAATGGGGTTCGTATTTCACGCATCGCCATCTCGAATTAACTTATGTCTGTCAGGATCAAATTTTAAAAAACGTAAACAACGCACAGATTAATATGTACAGTACCTCTAAGTCTCTGGAACTGAATACGTGCACCAGTGAACCTACAACTACACGATTTATATTTTAAAAATAATTAAATTCACTTACCATTCAAAACTTTCGAATTTCGAAAAACACAAATATGCTAATTCACTACGGACAACCGTTTAACTGAAGTGAAACGGGTTTTCCCCTTGCTATGGATGACTGCCTAGTGCAGTTCAGCCACAACCCGATACAGTTCGCCTTTATTATCAGTTTGAAATGGAGGGATTCCATAATACCTGCAGGGTTCCATAATACCACTTTCTCTCTATACGTTTATATTTTATACAGACTTTTTACTAAATGTGCCACTATAAGTACAAAATATGCCCAGAAAATATTGACAATTTTGAATGCGGCATACCAAACGATGTCGCAAAACCAATTACCGCTTGTATGATCCGTGAGATTTATTGTTCTTACAGCATTTCTGACAAAGTTATCTCTATCCAGGCACATATTTTGAGTCAATTTTAAATATTTAGGATTTTTACTGCGTTCCTTAACCATTCTGGTCCAAACCCCAAAAGGAGTAAGAGATTGAAAACTCACATTTTTCCATTTATATTCGTAATACAACGCTCGAGTGAAACGATCGGAAAACGCTTTACTTGCCGAATACACGCTCAAAAATGGCAAAGGCATTGCGGAGGCCACTGACGAAACAGTAACGATGGCGGCCCTTTTTCTGGAGAACATCGAAGGTAAAAACAATCGCGTCGTGTGAACCACCGCTTTGATGTGTAATTCTAACATTAAATTCACATCTTCGTCACTCTCGCCTAATATATGACACGGAAAGTCACCCAGAACACCGGCACAGTTGACTAAAATGCCAACATCCGTATCCTTCAGTCTGCTGAAGACGTATTCGAAGGCATTATCGTGGCTGAGATCGACGTGAATGTAGCGACATTCTACTCCGTATTGACTTGTAATTTTTTCAGCGGCATCCTTCAGAGCCTGCAATTCGTTACTTACGATTACAATGTGTAAACCTCGTTTGGCCAGTTCGTTAGCGTAGCCTCTTCCTATTCCCGAACTTCCTCCCGTGATCACGGCCCACGGTCCGAATTCCTTCAAATCCGAAGTGCATAGAGAAAAAAGATGCACTCTTAACACGTTGACAAACTTCCATATTAACGTTGAGACAAAGAGAATTGTACAGAATATACCAAAATAAGCCAAAATGCAACTTTGTTCCATGATTTCTAACATGATTTAATTCTTTCAATATAGCAAAAAGACAAAGCACATTTAGTAATTAATTTGCATTACAATTTTCTATCGAGTTCATATATATATCGAAGATAAAGACTAAATCAAGAACAATTCATTCTTGTTTATTATATTCTTTTAACCCAAATATTTATCGAAGGTAAACTCCGATAAATATTTGGGTTAAAAGAATATAGATAATGAATATGAAAAGTTTAAAGTTCTCTTTATTAATTTTTCATGTCTTTAAATGAGGTTTTNATTCCTTCCTATGGTTTTCTAGCAATACAATAATAAAATATTTCAAGCCAGGACTTTCACCCTACCCTTAGTAATCAAAAATTGGTTAATTTTATCTCTCTGCTGTATACACTTGATCGTTATTAATGACAGAATGTGTCATCGCATTCCACTTTGTGCGAGTGTCTTTTGATAGCAGAATTTTTCTCCGTTTTTTTTAAGGTCAATTTAGAAGAAAAATCGATATGAGTTATGGCGTCAGCATATTTTATAGCGGCGTTTATTTTTAATTATAAAATTAAATTATTTTATAGTGAATAAGCTTTTGGCAGTAAATAAATTTAATTAAGTTCTCTCAAGTAATGTGATTTAAATATAGAAACAAATTGACACGTTCATTGTTTAATCTTAATAATAAATAATCACGCGATATAAAACTGATTTTTATAAAATAATTTTAAAATTTCATAAAATAATAATATTTTTTTTTATAAATAAGGGTTTTAAAAATATCTCTTGGCATTATTAAATGGTATTTGCTTTCAATTTTACACTCTAGATGGCACTTTATACTTTTTTTAAAAAAATTATTTATATGTTTAAATTTTTAAAATATTTTTAATTGTTATTGGATGATTTTCTATGATATAAACGCTTTCGTATTTCCTATAGTAATTTAAATAAAAAAAATATAAGTTTTAAATCTTTAAAACGTTTTAAAATTTGCACGCCATTGATGTTACAGGAAATCATATGAATGAGAAGAAAGGGATATTTCGGGTTTTTAACTTTGATTTCGAAGGCGTTTGTTACGAAATTGTAATACGTCCATTTGGCGAAGAGGGGACGTAAAAAGGAAGAAGATGAAGTAAAGTCAGGTGTGGGGATTCGAAATGGATCATGTGTCCACAGACTGGATCCACAGCACAATTCATCACAGTCGTCACGAGCAGAACACAGCCACGTCTGTGGTTCCACGCTGGAATGAACGACTTTCTAGCAAGTTTCGGATGACAAATAGGAAAAGAAGAATTTTTGGACGTCAACGCTGACGCTGTCATCAATCACAGAGCAACAAGGTGACACCACGGCGCTGCCCCCTTGTATCAACTCGGGGAAGCTTCGATAGCCACAGAATGAATGTTTCCTTCTTTAATCCTCCCGTCTCTATCTTTCGTGGCATCTTTCTTACTATTTACTAAAGAGACTAATCCTAATTAAGGCTCTCTTTTTTTTTGTTTTTTTTCCCCTTTCCCAAATATACATTACGTTTTCCAAAAATCATCGGTAATGCTGTAAATTTTTAAAGCTACATCGGTGTGGATTTTAGTTATATTTCTTAAAGAAATGAGAACCGAAAAGTAAACATTCCCGAAATAATACCACACCGAAACAAACTGCTTATCTCTAACGAAATGTTTTGGCTAAGTTTTCCACGAAACAGCCAGGACACAAATACGGTCAATTAGTCTGCTGAAGAATCGTTTTGGATGTGACGTGCTGTTTCCTACAGACAGACAAATGGCTCGACTATTATTGGAAGAGAAGAGCAAGACGAACAATATTCGAACGTGCGGTGCATACGGAGCAAAGTATGGTTGGAGCAATCAAAGTCCGGATCCATATTTAGGATTAGATATTCGACCGGATGGATGGCATAACTGCACGCTCGAATAAAACTTCCCGTTCTAAATTAGAAATTTATAACTAGATAAATAAGGCGATTGTACCAAAAAAAAAAAAACATGGCTCCCAGCCTCGAATCGATCCAAAAATACAGCCAAGAATGGAGTCTGGCAATAATTTTTAAACGCTCGTTAGTTGCTGGGATATTAGAAAACAGTTCTGCATGAGAGTCACGAACTTTGCTCGTTTTAGAATAACGTGTTTAACATCTCAAATAAGTCAACACTATTCCTTAAATGCTAATCCGCTGTATGTGTCAGACTATTGATAGTTGATTAAACGGCACATTTTAACCGCTCTTTCACGCTTGCTGATAACTTGGCAAACGAGAGAGCGTATCAAATTCTCATTATAGTCTGCACTATACTATTAGAAATTCAAATACGGTTAATAAAAGCACGGACAGAATAAATCTCACTTTCGCAGGTTAATGTTATGCATCTTTATTTTTGGCTTGAACTTCTTTCTAAGTCTGGGGTGTGGAAGGTCGTAGAATGTCTTTATTTGTTGAAGAGAACTTGCCCAATTTTTCTGTAGACTCTCGCAACACCTGCATTGCTTCGACTGTTTTACCGAGAACGAGGTGTGGCACTCTTTTGGCTTCGCACGTGCACGGTTTGGTCGTGTCATGTTCTATGCCCACGTGGTCACCTTATGCTTCGGTTTAACGGACCGAGGAATGTGCACAAGTTTATTTCTTCTTCTCGGAAAATTTTTCACATTTTCCGTAGTAATTTTGTAAATGATTCCTTCCTATGGTTTTCTAGCAATACAATAATAAAATATTTCAAGCCAGGACTTTCACCCTACCCTTAGTAATCAAAAATTGGTTAATTTTATCTCTCTGCTGTATACACTTGATCGTTATTAATGACAGAATGTGTCATCGCATTCCACTTTGTGCGAGTGTCTTTTGATAGCAGAATTTTTCTCCGTTTTTTTTAAGGTCAATTTAGAAGAAAAATCGATATGAGTTATGGCGTCAGCATATTTTATAGCGGCGTTTAGTTCATAGTTTCGTGTTAAGAAGAAAATTTAAAAATTTTAACTCTCTACGCAGACTTTCCTCAAGATTTTATGACTTTCAGGAGAATCTGTTTGATGGGCAACATATCACGAGTGAGATATGAAACAATCCCAACCCTAAACAACCCTCTGGAAGGGTTAAACAACTGCAGGATGACATTCCAAACCATCAGGATCAACATTGTTTATCTCGAATGAACACGTGACTGCAACACGTGACACGGAACCCAACCGACCCCCAGCAGAGCGAAAGTCTTTCCTTACCCCTCTTCCACTCCAGATGAGATATCTCAATCCCTCCACGGACGAAGAACAGAGAGGAGGGGGATAAGTAAACGTCATGCAGTCTGGCAAACTCATTCCCCCTCCGGGTAGACAGTTGTCAAGGTTAGAGAATTGTTAAACGGGCATTCTACAAACCGTATAACACAGCATCAAATTTCCATATCGTCCTCGGGCGCTTTAGTAGATTGTTAAGGGATTATCAGTCGATAGGGTGAATCATGGCCACGGATAATTTTATTTTGCTTTCACAAGCTTTCTCTGGCTAGTGGGAAGAGCGCCATATTGGATTTGGATTACCTGCGACTGGTAAATTTTGCCACACAAAACGAGTTAGAGAAAACAGTCTGGGTGTGGAAGGCACTCGTCATCCTGCTGAGGCATAAGATCCCACATCTGTCTGAGGGATGACCACCCAGCGCGTGGACAAGGCCGTAGACCACCCGGGTCCCACCCTCATCACGTGATTTGTTGGGTATCAGATGATGCTCGTTGTCGTAGCGACTATAAGAGAGTGATATGTAACAGGTGACGCGCAGAACAAACCAGATGTCGTCACACCATGTGATATTTTGGAAATTGTTCTCCATTCTTTTTTTGTTTTACACGCCGAACATAATGTATCATCTTTGACAAGCCTTTAATCGTCGGTGAGCGAATGGAGGGGGATTGTTTAAGGTGAGGGCACTGGAAAAATTTATTTTAATTATTAAAAACACACGTGGGACGTAGTAATGGAGTAATAAATCAAGAGAAGCAAGAAAAAAACGTGAATGACAGAAGAAATTCGAAGATGTCACAAACTCGCCACGATGACGTCTCGGAGACTGTCCATCCGATGTCACTTGTGATTTGTGAGTAGACACATGTTCATGAATCACCCTGATTTACGGCAAGCGTGGGAGACTGCAGAGTAGAAAGTAGGGGTGGAATAATACCGCCCTGCAGAATTCCTAGGAGATGGGGGAAACACTCACGTGACAACATCGGTGTAAACGTCTTCCTATGATTTACTGTTCACAATAGTAAATAGTTTACACGTCGAGTTCGATCGATCTCGCCGTTAACTAAACCGTCTTTTCAGTTACCGTGTCCTGTGACAATTATTTAAATCTCGTGGGATGAGTAACCACTCTCGATCAAATAAACGAGAAACACGATCCTGATTTCTTCAAGAACAAACTATAATTAACTGCTAAGATATCATTCATCTTACTTCTTTTTATATGCAAAATCGTTAAATGTGCTACTACTTTAGAGATTTAAAAAATCTAATTGAATGAATCCGTGTCGTGGGTAAAACGTTTTAAAATTTGCACGCCATTGATGTTACAGGAAATCATATGAATGAGAAGAAAGGGATATTTCGGGTTTTTAACTTTGATTTCGAAGGCGTTTGTTACGAAATTGTAATACGTCCATTTGGCGAAGAGGGGACGTAAAAAGGAAGAAGATGAAGTAAAGTCAGGTGTGGGGATTCGAAATGGATCATGTGTCCACAGACTGGATCCACAGCACAATTCATCACAGTCGTCACGAGCAGAACACAGCCACGTCTGTGGTTCCACGCTGGAATGAACGACTTTCTAGCAAGTTTCGGATGACAAATAGGAAAAGAAGAATTTTTGGACGTCAACGCTGACGCTGTCATCAATCACAGAGCAACAAGGTGACACCACGGCGCTGCCCCCTTGTATCAACTCGGGGAAGCTTCGATAGCCACAGAATGAATGTTTCCTTCTTTAATCCTCCCGTCTCTATTTTTC